TGTATTAAAAGGAATATTGTATGCAGTCATGTTGTTTATGAGGAATTTCAAATATTCCCAATGTAGACCTTACCCGACAGATAGACATTATTTATTTGCAGAAATATTCCTTTGTTAGTTATTATTCTCTTTTACAAACTACTGGTTGATGGAGATGGAAAATGTGGCTGTTATCTCATAGGAGATGTTAAAGGTATTGAAGCTGAAAATTGAAATGGGTGCAAGCACTTACATATATGACCCTTTAGGCCTGTTTTTAAATGTATTTCTGCAGAACCAAGGCAGTGGCAATGGGAAAGCTTTCTCTGAATTTCCTTGTTCTTGGAGAATTAGAGCATTTCTGTTAATTTTTTTAAAACATAGATTACAAAAAGATAAACTCGTTAGATTAAACTAACATCATAATCACAGCCAGAATTCTTTATGAGAAGTCTGAAGCCATGTGATTTGGTGCTCTCCCAACTGAGGAATAAACTTTTGGGTTGAGAAAAATCACTCCTCCTACAGAGATTTAATGCAGCAGTGCTTGCAGGAAATGGCCTCTTTTAATGTAATGTTTACACATCTTTGCCAACAGCAATTCAGTTTTAAATATACTAGTGTCCTCAGTACAGCATGGCCTGATTTTATCCCTGGACACTTGCAGACTTTACCGAGCATCTTCATGAGAGAGTAAACAGCTATCTGGAGCTGGAGCTAGAACTAGATTTTAACTATTAATAGTATTTTTTATCATATGTGGTTGTTGAAACCTTGAATGTAGGAACAATAGCTATACCACCTCAAAGGTTAGTTTAGAGAAATATTCCAAGTCTAATCTCCCATTTCCTCTATGTGTTCCATAAAGCCACCTGGCACTATTAATGATAAGATTCTCTTAATGCTGATATATAGATGTATGCTAAAACAAAGCATGTCCAAGGCCCCAAACATGCATTCAGGAGCAGCTCAAGCATTCAGGCCTGCATCTGCCCCCTCTCGCCTGCTCTTCACACCTTCTCCAGACCAGGCCAATTCCTGTCTGAGCAAAGCATGGCAAGCAGCAGTTCCTTCTGTCTGGGAAGGGACTGGAGCAGTGGGGTAACCCCCAAACCTAGGTCACCAGTCTGGGGAGCAAGTAGCAGCTGCTCCTCCATCTGTTCCCATCACCATGTGCAGCACATGTCCCAGACTGTCTTGGGGGATGCTCCATGTATGATGTGGTTTCCAGACCAGCCAGACTGAGCAACACCTAAAGCATGGATCTTGGACTGGGTGGAGCAGATGCTGGATGTGTGTCCTGGGCCCTGAGCATGAGGCTAGTCTGTCACCATGCAACATGTAGATCAACTCAGACCCTGGAGCAGCATGGGGGTTGGATGATGAGGCTCTGAAAGCTGGATCTGACCCACAGACCATATCTTTGACACCCCTGAAATAAAGGTAAACATCAATGTTGCCCACGAGTCTACAACTCTTACCTGTTCTTACTTCACTGCAGAACTGCTTTGCAGGATCTTTCTCAGCACACCTTATATCCAGCTCCCTGGTTGGGTTTTTAAGAAAAAAGTAATCATCTTCATAAGCTGTAGTGTTTCAACCATTTTTAATAAGCAGGAGCCTTCATTTTTCAGTCCCGAGAGATTTTACATTTCCTACATGGTTTGGCACTCGGTTCCTATTTTAAATGCATTGCAACTTCAAAAAAAGTCTCTCTCTTTTCTCTTCCTTCATTTGCTCCCCTTAAAAATATATCTGTTCAGCTTTAAAGTTTGCTCCACCCTACCCCTAAATGTTCTGTTTTAGCTTATCATAGTAGAACAGAGTTGCTGTCCACCCCCCAGCTATTCTTCCAGCACTAATCCCAACCACATTATCACTATTTCTGAGTACCTTTACCCATCATCAACAGCCAACTGTCCTGCCAATAAAAGAGAGAATTTGTTTAATATTCAACATGGTTAAGGTATTTTACATAAAAATATATGCCCATACTCTAGATGATAAATGTCAAAATAACCTATAAGAATGAAGAAGTGAGAATGATTTATTGCTAGATCTGTCAATAAAATGGGATTTTCAATTTTAAAGCTCCTGTTACGCAGCTTTATTGCCTTTACATACACACATACACTTATATATACGAGTGTACCAATTCACCACTTTTCTTATTTATCAGAAAACAATTTTCTGCATAAAGGCAAGAAAAAAAGAAGTTCATTACTTTTGTATCCTTCGAACACCAGATAATGAAATACACTCAATCTGATGGTATTTTCAGTATTAGCCTCCCAACCTAATTGCTAAATTACACAGGAGGAAAGTCATGTACTGACCATCTAATTCTATATGCAGCTCTGGAGGTGTTGTTTATATGTCAGTTATGATGGCCCACAATGACTTCAGCTAGAGTGCAATGCCATAGAACAACACTCTTTAATATTATGTATAATATGTAACAGCATATTGTACCTAACTTCTGTTTCATCTAGTGTCTTCATATTCTCTTTTGGCTTTGTTAGCAAATGGGACAATAGAGCTCGTATTACATCTGCATTGCATTGTAACACACCCCTGTGCTGGTGTAGATATAAACTTGCTCTTTTTTTCCAAGGAGTCTTTCCACGGCCAAGAGAATACAGTGATTTTAATGTAAATGAGTTCCAGGTTTAAGTCTTTTTCTTCATTTCTGACCTGCCAAATCTCCATGAATTGACTGTACAGCAGTATTCTCCTAGGTATAAACAGCACCATTTTTCCCCCACGTTAGGCTAACTAACATGTAAAATGCACATCGCCTGATGTTCAGTGTTACAAGGAAGTCAGCCTGAAAGAGCTATTGGGTGGCAGTTGCCATTGTGTCATTAAATGTGTATATGAGGTAAGCAAGCATTTTCAAATCAGCCATAATGCTGTTTTCCATTTAATCTGCAGAGCATCACAGAATCAATGCACCATGCTTTTTAACATGCAGTGTAAACTCAATTAGCTGGATCTCATTTGCCCAGCTTTTATGACACCATGATTTAATCGCATTTACTCCAGATATAAAATAAATCAGAACCTGTCCCTTAACATTAAGCCTAAAAAAGAATATTTTTTTTCCTATTAGGAAAATGTCCTTATCTAAAGCACTGTTGTGATTAAAGACAATTTTGTTCAAAATAAGCTGCCCAAAGAAAAAGGATGGATACAAATATATGTAGAGAAAGGCAGCAAAACTGGCCTACAAGGTTTTCTGTCATAAGGAAAGAGGCCTACCATGCCTGAAAGAGACAAGTGGGTCATGAGAAGCTTCTCCTCACCTACTCTCCATTGTATCCCTTTTTCTAGACTGTTTACCATGGCAGCAGATAAGCAATAACCTTGGTTGTAGGAAAAGAGTACCGCTTCTAGATACCCTGCTACATTCTGGTTATCTCTTGTTGTTTCCTCTTCCCCAAACCGGTTTCCAAAAGATGCCTCTTGCCAATTACCTTTGCTGTAAAAGAGCCTAGTGACACATGCCTCTTCCTACAGATTTGTTTCCAAGTGGTTCTTTTTTATGTAACCCTAAGGACACTAGCACTATATTTCGTCTCAGAGCTGGGCTTACAAGTGGGCATTGCGGGCAATCACCCATGGCTCTGTGGTCAGGGGTCACCAAACACACTTGCGCACACACATATGTAAGCAGCTCATGCACACAGCAACACATTCCCCCTGCCCCAGCTGATCCCCACGTTGGAGGAGCAATGCCCAATCCAGCTTGAGCCCCCATCTCCAGCCATGGCTCAGGAGAAGCCAAGTCAGCCCCAGGCACATGTGGGTGGGGCAGTGCCTGCTCCAGTCCACCCCTTGCTCCCTCAAAGCAGGGCAAAAGGGGTGAACACAGATGAGAGAGGCAAAGGATTGGCACCTTTTCATTTTCCCATTTAAACAGAAAAGGTTTCTAGGGCCTTTATTATAGGAAGAGTAAATGCATGTATATTCCTAGAAATAAATATAGGATAAAAGCAGGAGAGGTGATGTAAAGAATCATGAAAACCACACACAAATCACTTGGGGGATACATTTCCCTGAGAAGTGGCTGGAAAGCACTTGCCCATGTTTTGCAGTCAGGTCCATTCCAATAAGCAAAACACGCTCTTCAGAAGTAATTTTGTGGACCTCCAAAAGACCTCTAGCAGAAATTACTGATGTCTAGAGATGAAGCAGGCTCTATCATAAGCAGGAAAGCACCTTAGTTTTGTCAAGCTAGGTGGATAATTTTGACCAAGGGGCTGCAAGGAACATTGTACCCAGAAAGCACATCACTGTAAAAGTATGAAGTTGGGAGCTTTGGTAGATATTTACTAGTTAAAGGCCATCATTTTCTGTGCTCTCATTGTACTAAGTTTTCTGACAGCTGAATTCAGACAGTCTCATTCATCAAGCTTAGGATTTAGATTGCAACTACATCTTTCACATATTCCACACCTGTTCTGAACTTCAGCAGAGATCTCAAGTACTGCTAGAATCTGGGCCAAAGCACTGATTTAAATGCAAGAAATGATTCTTTAGGTAAGTTGACAAATTGTTAGCATCTGAAGAGGCTGCACAGTTTTTGCATAACCACATTTTCAGTTTACTGGCAAATACTAGCTATAATCTCCCACAAAGGGGCGTAGACCGGAATGACTCAGGCATTTTACTGATCCAGACAGACAACTCAAAGTTGCAATCTTCATTTTCAGTCTATATAAACTGACAGTGATTATGTCTCTTCAAAACCTCAGTGCTTTAGGGAAAGTTAAGGAAACATTCATAAAGTATAATTATTACTTAAACAACACAACCACAAAAGTCTCGGCCTTCAAACATGTGAATCAAACATTTTTATTCAGGTAGCTTCTCATTAGAAGCTTTAAAGAAAGCAATCACAATAAGTGTTCATGTTCAGATGATGTTAGTATATCCTTTGAAAACATGTTTCAATTGAACTGCCATATAATGTACATTTTTTCCATCCAAAATTAACTACATTTTCCTTTTTCCTCTAGTCTCTGCAGCTATAAAGATCACAGACCAACTGGAATCATCAGGTGATGACATTTTAGCCACAGCCAGCACTTACATTCACACAGAAACATTGCCTTTCTTTACTGGTTCAAGCGACGCATCCGCCTCCCTGCCTGAAGACATTGTTATTGGCACAGCTCCCTCTGAGCAAATAGTGCCGTTACCAGTAGTCACCAGTTCATCCCATAGCCACTTGGTTACTATAGACCAGCCCTTCAGAGTAACCGCCCCCTCTGTGCCAATAGCTGACATCTCTACTGGCTTTGAAACAGAAGTCCAGGATATTGCCACAGAACTGGATAGGATGGATGCTATGGGCACATCGACACCAGAGGAGGTGGAATATGATAGTGGATACATTTCAGTATCAAAACCTCAGCCTGAGGAAATCACTCCAGCTCCAACACTGAAGTACGTAACCACTAGCTCCATGACAACTGCAACCAAAGGCAAAGAACTTGTGGTTTTCTTCAGTCTGAGGGTAACCAACATGCACTTTTCTGATGACCTCTTCAACAGAAGTTCTCCAGAATACAAAGCACTAGAACAACAGTTCATTCAGCTGGTGGGTAAAAATCAGATTGGTTGGTGAAATATGGTATTCAAGCACAGTTGTAAGACAGTAGTAAGAAAAAGATTGTTCCTGTTAGCTCATATTATTATTGTTCCTCTAGTTAGAAAAACAATGTACGGAGACAGGCCTCTACTACTGCTATAATCAAGAGCTTTCTGGTAACTGATCTTTTTTTCCATTTGAAAGTGTCACCTAACTAGGAGCCAAAAAGCACAATGACACGAATAACAGAATATGGCCCTGTCTTCCCATTAAAGACAGTGTAATTTTTAACACTGCTGTTTATTTTTTCTAGCTTGAGATGCTGTCAGCATATCAGGTTGCAGTTGTCTATGAAGGGAAGAACATGTAGCAGAAGATGTAAGAAAAGTTTACCCATGAAAGAAAATATATACACTTGGCACATATTTGTATTTGGATGCTTCTTTGCTTCAATGGCCATCACTGGTTTATGACATACAGTACTGAAACAGTTATAAGAAAACGATTGACAGGATCTTTATTCTGGATTTATTATAAATCCTTTCACAATGCAACATGGCTTCTCAAAGGAAATATGATTAGATTTTTCCTATGCATACCGAGGTCAGTTGGTCAACTCAAATGGCATGCTCATTCTGTCCTGCTTCAAGTGAACTATAGAAAGTAATTTGAGTTGGCTTCCTAGCGAGGGTTTTTTCCCCTTCGGAACCAATAGAAACCTCAAACACTATACATTTCATTACAAGGAAAACAGTTGCCCATCTCTACTTATTGAGAAAAATCAAATTGAAGAGACTAATCAAGGCAAATAGAAAACTGAACTTGGTCGTAGAGTTGGGCACTGCTATTAAAGCCAGATAAGTAAGCGGGTGATTTATGTACTTGATAATGAAAAGTGAACATAAGTGAAATTAATGGTAGCTAGGCGTTGATAAGGGAATTAAAATAAAACAACTTCCTGTTTTACAGCTGCTTCCATATCTTCAAGCCAACCTTACAGGATTTAAGCAATTGGAAATACTTAACTTCAGAAATGGAAGTGTGATTGTCAACAGCAAAATGAAGTTTGCCAGGTCTGTACCGTATAATATCACAGAAGCTGTGCACTGTGTTTTGGAAGATTTTTGTGATGCTGCGGCCCAGCGCCTCAATTTGGAAATTGACAGCTATTCCCTTGATATTGAGCCAGGTAAGATTTCGTTACTGAAAATGCAAAAACAAACATTTACAGTTCACCTTTCATGATATTGATAGTTTTACCTGACATGACTGAAAGAAGAAATGTCTACTTTAAAAGGACAGTAATAGTATTTGCCTCCTTGGAGATGATGATAAAAAAAGAAATAAGGAAACAGTGCTGCATGTAATGTGTTTGGTGGGTTTTAGTGCAGTTCTCAGTGGACAGGCTTCTACATTAGAAGAGCCAGTAGGACTAAACACACTGTTTAATATGTATGGAGAGACGAAAGACTGAATGGATGAGAAATGAATAGTCATATATTCCCTTCCTAGAAGTACTCCCTACAGATGAGGATTTAAGTGTGTTGGCAGGGAAGCATGGAAAAAAGCATGTCACTTCTTGTTTGATCAAGAAAAAAAAGAACTAAGTGACATACAGAAATAATTGTGAGAAAAAAAACCTGAGAGCAAGAATGTCTGTGATCCATGTAGGGTGAAAGCTTAGAACAGACTGACCACCAATTTAAAATACTGAGAGATTATAAATGCTTACCAGCCTTGGCTTTGGAACCGAATACTTGCCAATCTCAATGCATAGGCATCAGCTGCAAACTACAAAGTCCTAACTCTCCAGTTATTTAGTCTGCCCCTGCTTGCTTGGAAATGTGATTCAAAGCAATGATAATAAGTTAAAAGAAAGGCTGATAAAATTTTATATTTTAAATTGCTTGCTTGGATTTTTGTCAATCCAGTGACTGCATCAAGAAAAATGGGACTCAGTAGTGAATCACAAGAGCCTTTACGAATTTCATCTATTGGGTTTATAGTTCGCGTTTCATTACTTTGTATTTTCTTCACTATCCTTGGAAACAGAAAGGAGAGAGTATAGAAGGTATCCATTGTAGAGAGACAGAGGAACCCCTAGCTAGGAGAAAGCAGGGATGGTACCTGTCTGGAAAGAAGTGCCGCATGGTGAGAGCTGTTCTGTGAAAACGTGATGGGAGTAACTTGCAAGACACCCCATAACCTCCAGTCAAAGAGAAAGCTACCCACACATTAGGGTTTACCACAGATAGAGTTGTGGAAGAAAAGGGAATCATAGGCGGCTTGCGTGGTTCAGTTGTAAAACCTAAACCTGATGAAAAACAAAAACAGCACTTTTACATACTTTTACAGTAGGACAGATGGCTGCCAGTTCTGAGTCTCTCTACTACTACACTTAGAATAGAAGACTACAAAGTTTAGTAGAAAGGGATATATTTTCCACAGAAATTTTAAGCGCTATAAAATCCATTTGCCAGGGATCTCATTTCATGGATTTTTTTGTTATTTTCTATAGACTCCTGTTTCACTTCTACAGCTTCCTGCTGGTTTAATCCCAGTTCAATTCCATGGGCCTGCTTTTTATATTCTTAATAATTTGTATTATAATAATACCTAGCATTCTCAGTCAGGATCATGGCCCCATTGAAAGACCAGATAACTTAAATGTGCTTAACAATATTCAGTTAGATAGCAGAAAATGTGCATTCCTAATAAGGCATGGGCATGTGGTTGAAGTTGAGAATGTCATACGGCAATATGAAGGTCAGCAAACTGCAGAGGAAGACTTCAGACAGGGCAATCTAATATACTTATTTTAAAACAAGAACAAAAAGAGGAACCTTCCCTCATGTCCTATTCTCTACAACACCAAAAAATACAGGAAACCCCCCAGAAGGAATGTGCCTACCAGCCTGATCACTTTGCTTACACAATAAAAGTTGAACACTATTCCCCTAGTCCTCATCTTCCTTTTATTAAGAAGCATTTGATTTCATATTATGCAGTTACATGTCACTCCCCACAAAGGCAGCTTAGCCTCTCTTATATTTATTTCATTTATGCTACACTCTAAAATGGAAATCCAGAGATTTTCTTAAAAACTGTGTGTGTGTGTATGCAGTTCATATAGACACTTCAAAAAAATTTCTTATGTCGTATGATGTTCAGTCAGAGAATTTGAAGGTTAAAAGAAAAAAAACAAAATCCCCTGAATTGTGGTAGTCTAGCCTATCTTTAAATAATAACTTGAGAGTGTTTGCCACTTACGACATACTAATTGAAACCCAAGGAGAATGACCTCTAAGCTACTGAGGTCTTCAGGTTGTTGTACTGATATTTTTAATTAGAGCATGTAAACTGAAAAACAAAGCAGCTACAAATGTGGTAAAATATAAATTGATAAAGAACTATTTATTTTTTCCAACTTCCTTACCCCAAACATCTTTATGTCTCTCTCCTGCTAACATTTTTGTTCACTTGGAATTCAAAACTGTCCCAGGAGGGAGTTGGGAGGAGTCTCATGAATCCAAAAGGACAGGAAAGGCAATGGTAAATAAACCAAGGGCCTTCCCCTTTGCATGTTTCAAAGCCCATTTTCTTCCCCTTTCAATTAAAAAAATGTACAGGTTTGAAACCTGTTTGTATATTTGAATTCAATTCAAGTAAATTCCCCTTCATTTGTGAAAATGAGAGCCATCTAGTGGAAACAATGTTATACCACAACTCAACTTAAAACCTGAATGAAGATGCACCATCTCCACTTCCTACAAGAAACAACTGAGAGACTTGTCATATCATCTACAAATAATACTGCAAGGAACACTGTAAAGCAGATAAAAAACCTGCAAGTATGTGTGCGTGCACGTGGTGAAAAAATACAGCAACAATGACAAAACTATGATGGCCACGTCACCCAGCCCTGTATGAAAGAAAAATGACATACCATTACTGAAAAAAGGAGCTATACAATAACCCAGAAAAATATTGTATGCCTAATTTACTGCCAAAGGGAGACAAATAGGCAAACTTGGATATTTACAAGAAGGAATGCAACTAATACAGCTATTAGTATTTTAATCACATGGACCAATTAGACAAATAATTTCACCACACTCTCAGACCCTGATCAAAAAGATTTTAGTTGAAATATCCAGCAATACATCAGGAAAATTATTTGATTTGACAAGTTAAAATAAGCAAGAGAACAAGCAGGAGGAGCAAGAGACCTCATATCTTGCTTTCAGTAAGATGAGAATTAATGATAAAGAATTAGAGAAGGAAAAGATGGCATATGAATCAGAAAGCATAATGGTCGCTAAACAGAATGTTCTCCCAAAGTTTTCCATAAGCCTCCATTTACACTTTAAAGCATGCATTATTTTTAATTCTGTGGGAGCATGACATGGATTAATAACTAGGGAGGAAGTTAAATTCTGAGACAAATGGACAGTATTAGGAATTCAACCACTTGGATATGAATACAAATTGTACCTTTGAAACAAATGCATCTTCACCTAGGAGATGAAGCTACAGAGAAATAAAATGGGAAAATAAGAAACAGCTGTGAAACAGGAAAGGGAAGCCACTAAACATTGACTTTGACAGTATTGAAATGATGATGTTGCCATGATGCTCCAGGAAATAAGCAAGAAATATCTGTTTGTTTATGGACACACTAGATAAGCACAAACTTGTTGGGAACCACCTTATCAAGAATTAGCCATGGAAAATGTGACTCTTGATGATCCACAAAGGATGCACCTACATGTTAATTAATGGACTTTAGGTCATGTGTATTAAATCTAGTACCTCTAGGTACTTTTACACATGCTCTGGAGGTAAGGGGGGCAATTTAATTACAGCAGTTCTGAGAGCCACTCTAACTAAAGTGCCACCACGTCTCCTGTATCAGCATCCCTGTGCTAGAAAGTGGCCGCAGAGGTGCTTGAAATAAAGCTCATTCGATGAGCTTTAGCTGAAGCGCCCTCACCACCATTTTTAAGTGTGGGGATGATGATAGAGCTGCTGGAGTGCAGCAATTGCCACATGCCGACAGACTTGATTAATTGAGTCTGCTCCAATGTGCTGGAATTCCAGTGCATTGGAGCAGCCTAAGTGCTCATGTATAGCTGCCTTCTGTTGTGAGGTACTAGAAAAAGGTGCATTAGCTAAACAGCATGGTTTTCTTGTGATGCTTTAATGCACATTAAAATAGGCTAATGTGCATTAAAGCACACATGTAGACATGCCCAGAACAAGTCTTTTCTTTCTCCTGCTATAACTCTATCCCCAAAGAATGGAAGGGGAAAAAAAACACAAACAAAAAAAAAAAAAATGAGCCATTTATAGGACATCTCTGCTGCCCCTATGTACCAAGTGCTTAGCTTCATCCCTGCACTGCTGCCTGCTATACATTCTGCCAATTAATGGCACGATAAAAGGAAAATTCACATATAATGGAATAATCAGCTTATTGTCATTATGGAGACTGGACACCCCAGGGTCCACAACCTGGGCTGCACAGGGATCTGCAAGTGCTGGATGTGGGGAGCTGATTGGCTCCCGCACTGCCCTGGCATTTATAGAGCCATGCACCCTTAGCCCCACCTACTAGGCTCTTGGAACCTAACTTTGACCTAGCCAGTGAGCTGAAGCCCAGTATTCGATCCCAGGCTCCACCAGAATACAGTTAGGATCTGAGCCCTCATCCAAAAATTGTGTATCCTGCCATGAACATGTGGCATAGCAGGACATATGATTGTTGAAATCAGGGAATTCAATCCAATAAATTAAGGTCTGTCCAGGACCGAAAGAAGATAAAAGATGCTCTGAGAATCTCCACCCACAGGTTAGGAATTAGCAAATACAGTGTGCAACATTTTAAAACTAAAGATTTTTTTTCTACAGAAACTAATGCTTAATCCATTATTACCTAGATAACTAGCAAGGATCACTTGATTTCCAGACTGACATTTTAAGAGCTATTAATTGATTATACAACACATCAGTTTGACACTATGCCTGTGATAAAAGCTGCACTTTCTAAGTGCTGTCCAGCAATTCAGGCCTGTTATATTGCACCTTTGCCCCTCTACCTATCCATACCTGCATTTTCATTTTCATGTCATCCCTTTACTCCTCCCCTACCAAAAACCCTCCACTCATTTTTCTGCTTGGTCCACATTAGTTTCATTCTGGAATGAAAGCTATCTGCTATTCATTAATTCTAGGAAGAGTAAAAGCAAGGATCATTTGGGCTAAGATGCTCTTGTGTCAATTTCACCTCATGTCTCTTAAGAATTGAATGATACTCCTTCCAGAAAACAAGTAGAGTAAAGGCAATGATGAAGAAGGATTACCTCCATCCATCCACCACTTCAGCATGAAGCTAATGTGAGCACTGTACTAAGATGGCTCACATTGAGCTTCCTCTTGGTTTCTGGTGAAAGCCAGGGTTTGAAACCCTGCAAGCAGGTGAAGGAGGAAGAAATCCACATTGAAATTAGAAGTGCTTGTCAAGAAAGAATAGGACTCCAGGTTGCAGAGGTGACTTAGGCCCCTGCTCTCAGGACCCTCACTTTCCCAGTACACAAAAGTAGTTATCCCAAACCCAGAAAACCAGCAAGTGCTGCTGGTTTCACAGGAAATTATTTCACCAGTAGAAACATTAGCAGCAGGATTGTGGTGAACCTGTTTCATTCCCTCTGTGAATGAGACTGCCATAAGTCCTACCAAATACAATGGGGCAATGCACTGACACATGCTATTACTTATTTCTCCATCCCATTGCAGCTGATCAAGCCAACCCATGCAAGTTCATGGCATGTGATGAATTTTCAGAGTGCATAACCAATGAGTGGACAAAAGAGGCAGACTGCCTCTGTAAACCTGGTTATATAAGCCAAGATGGTCTGCCATGTCAGAGCCTGTGTGAGATGGAACCACATCTTTGCATTAATGGTGGAAAATGTGAATTAGTTCCAGGAAAGGGGGCTGTCTGCAGGTACGTAAATTATATGTAACATTAATTCTGCGGAACAATGATTATCTTGAAAAAATAGCTATATAGTCTCCGGACTTCCATAGTGTCAACTCTCTGCCAATTAGTATATACATTTGGGGTTAAATTGCAATATTCTTACTAATATGGAATAGTACCTTCTATCACACACACAGTTCCATTGAAATCAGTAGAATGACATGATTACTGTTAACTATAACATCACATTCTAGTTGGGTTTTTTTAAAGAAAGGGTAAATTACAGAAACTGCCTTTGACTTCGGCTATGTACACACACTCAAATGACCTGGAAGAACTCTTCTGGGTTTTTTTTCCAGGTAGAAAAACTTACCTGGAGACACCTGAACAGACATGTGAATGCTGAGCCCTTGAGGAACAGAGAGTTTTCAGGACTGACACTGCATAGCCAGAGGGCACCTGCAGGCTCCCTCAGTCTGCCTGGAGACAGATGGCAATATTGCACAGGGCAGCCCTGATTGGATGATCCAGATTGCTCAGAGTCAACTTATGTCTCCCTGAAGCCCAATGTGGGATGTGAAGGGATTGTGTTCTGCTCCCTGCTTGGCTGGAGTAGTAGAGTCCAGCCTGAGTGACACACTTTCTCAGGGGGAGAGGTGGGGTGACAGGAGCAAAGTGTCCTGGGGTACCAGAGGACAGTGCTGTGGCTTCTCTCAGCAGGGTAAGTTGTACAGACTTTCCCTCTCCCAGAAGAAACTTTCCTGAGAGTGATTTAACCCTGGTTCTTTCCAGGTTATTCTTCTCCTAGAGCAGCCACTTTTGTATTGTCCTTGACAGTTTAAAAAAAAAAAAAAATCAACACAAGTATCACAAAGGTAGGGTTTCATCACCAGAAGGGGCTGGTGGACCATAACTGAGGGATCGTTAAGAGAATATATCCTATATTCCTGAATGATAAATTTGAGGTTTTTAAATTATTCTGTGATTTGCATAGCAAATCAACACTTTCACAAAACTATACAGAAACTGACCCATGTAACAAGCAGAAGAAAAGTCTGAAATGCTCATATTGACCTAACTTGTTAGTCATTCTTAATACTGACTTCAGCAGGTGAATATATATGTATTTAGCATGCCTATATTTATTTAAATACCAACTATAAACAATAAAAGCATTAAACTACTCTGCATGTTCTCATAGCTATAGAGGAACTATCAACAATACTGTAACTCAGTGATTAAGATGCATTAGTTTCAGTACCATAATTCTCTTTGGACCCTGCTACATGTTTCACTTAAAATGAGATTAACTGGTTAATCACATCTTAAGTTGTGACACAGTCACAAGTTTAATCAATGCTCAGTGTGCAATAACATTGTGGCTCATTGCTATCATCCCATTAATTGAGTGTATGGTGCTCTGCAACAGCTTGCTACTTCCCACTGCAGAGGGAGCCTGGGATCATGATACCAGGTTTCCACTGCACCAGCAATAAGCCATGATTGAATTTGATGGTGGATCCTACAATCACACCTTCTTCCATACATGCATGACAAGGCAGGAGGCACGATTGCATGGATAAGTCTGGCAGGGGCCTTTGTCTCAGTTGGCTTCCTAACAAAACATAATACTGAGACACAAGGTTCAAATTAAGTTCTACACAGTCACTGCTGAATTCCCTGTTAACAGGAAAGTCATGCTAGTAGCTGTATTCTGCAATGCCACAGTCACCCTATGGTCCAAAAAGATGATTTTTCTTACCTTTAAGTAGTGGAAAGATATGGTTTACAGATTTTAGAACATCTGTCCCAATCCACTAATGAAAATACAGGAGGTTGCCAGTGTGGCTGCCCAAGGCTCTTCTAGCACCCATTCCTGGACCCAAGAGTGTCTTTCTAGTTCTGCAGTACATCAGCATACTTGAGCAGATGGGACATACTTCATCCTAAATTCTATATGGCTTGTTCTGGCTGCAGAATAGACAAACCCAAAGCTGCTCTCTGTGTAAACTTCAGAATTCAGAAGTGGGAAGAGAATACACCAGAGTTCAGTTGTTTAATATTAAGCATCACAAATCTGAAGAGATTTTTCTTTCTTGTATTATCAATCATACTGCTTCATAAAGACTCCATGATTCATTACATCCATTAGACTATTCTGTACTATTTGCCTTGTACTATTTTTCCCTGAATTTTGGGCCCAGATACTGTTTTCTGCCCTCATTCTCATTTTTTTTATATATATGTTTCCCTCACTTTCCTTACTTCAGATGCCCTGTACGTAGACACAAGTTTTACCAAGGACAACGCTGTGCAAAATTTGCTCCAGAACCCACTCAACCCTTCATTTTTAAACCTGTGGTTCTTGGATTATTAAGCCTTGTTTTTCTTTTCATCATTTTAATAATAAAGATACGAAGAAACTGTGAAAAGAAGACTAATCTAGAGTAAGAGCATGATTTTTCAGTCACTTTAAAAGTTAATATTGAACTTCATTTCTTAAATCTCAAAGATTCTTACATAATCAAGTGTTTTGCATTGTAGATGTCCTATTCCTAGCAGCTGCAACTCAGAAAATGCTGTAAGACTTAATCCTGCTTTTGAACATGATGAACCCATAGCTAGTGTTTGCCATATGCCTTGTACTGCAAGTGCATGTGTCAATTCTGCAGAGATCATTGATCAAGGAACACCACACACACATGAAAACACAGCTCAGGGTGAAGGTAAAAATGCATACAAATACTTTCTTTTCCCTCTCAGCATAAGTTTTCCTAAACAATAGGTCCATTTTCATGTGTTAACTTTACAGCTAATTCAAGCGTGTTTCTATATCTTGCATTGCTCACCTCAAAACTAAAACTATTAATACCTATAGTTGCCCATCTGTAATACTTACTGCTCTGTAGGTTTCGTAACAGAACTTTAGCACCGCTCTCTTTCAGGTCTTCTGCTTGGCTCTGGTCACTCCTATCCTGATATCCTTTCACAATCAGCACAACAAATTAACCCTGTGTATCTCTGCTTTTATGTTGTAGGTCACCAGATAATTATTCAAAACCAAGATTGACAAGTTAGTATCTGAAATTCTGTATTTCCAGAATAAACCAGAGAAGAGCAAGGTTTGTGACTCCATTTCTAAAAAGATGTGCAACAATGTTTATTCTCAAGTTTTGCATTTGTAGAAGTTACCAGGAAATCTTTTTTGTATATTAAATTCATGTTCCATTTAAAGCTGAAAAGAAATATATATTTAAATTACTTAACTTTCTTTGGCTGAAAATGACTTTTCCTTCGAGAGCTTACTACAACAGTCACACCTCTTTTTGAAGTGCTGTTATGAAACATGGTACAATTTTTATACCTGTTTCATAATGCAACAATCCTTCATGCACACACATGGGGGTGAGGGAATATGAAAATTAAAATAATGAAAATGTAAATGTAAAAGACAACCAAAGAGCCTAAGTTAATGAGAATAGCTGACCATAAAACTGTCCCCTAATAGTACAGTTTAAGGAGTTAAGTTAGCTTAAACATGACACAAGAAACAAAGAAAGAGACAAATATACGAGTCTGAACATAAGGCTATATTTTGTTTTGCTCATATCTGTATGTAAAAAGACGTGATTTCAAATACAAGACTTCTCTTGCACATTTGAAGGTAACAAAGGTATGAGGGACAGAATTTGATTGAGCTGAGAAATTTTCTGAACTTCAACTTCTCTCTCAACTTTGGATATACTTGATTTTATTCCTTGAAATGTAGACAAAGGACTTCTCTCATATTTTAATCTGAGTCACAGCCTGCAGAAACAAATTAAATAATAATAATAGATAGGTTTTCTGGATCATCAGGGAATAGAGAGTGGATAATGACCTTGATGAGAAGCCACGAAATTTCTTTCATTGGTCTTCATCAGACAGATGATGGAAGGGAGTTTCTAGCCCAACCCTATTCTTTCCAATTAAGATGTGGCACTGCTATAGACTAAACCAGGGGTTTTTAATCTTTAAGGAGCATACCCCTTCTGGGTACACTTCTGGTGGAGTGAGGGGGCGGGGGGTGGCGCCCGGACATGGAACAGGGGGTGCTTGCATGTGGCATAGGGTGGTGGATTGCAGTGGCAGCTGCCGCATGCGAGCTCCCCACACACCACATCCAGTGGGCTGGGCGGCACCTGTGCGGCCCACAGAGGGGAGCTGCTGTCCGTGCCCTTCTGCCCCTGGCCCTGCTCCTGGGAGGTGGTGGCACGGGGTCGTGGGTGGCAATGTTCCATCCCCACCTGCCTGTGGGTACCCCCTAGCCCCTTTCCAAGTCCACCCAGGGGTATGCATATCCCCAGCTGACAACCCCTAGACTAAACTAGACTAAAAGGAGGTACTGTTACGCACTTATAAATTGAAGACCCACAAGTTACCACAGTAGTATTAGTCTCAAAGGTCATGAAGACATGGAGAATGAAGTGGCTGAACTGCTTAAAAAGACAGACAAGCTGATATCAGCCACTATATTGAAAAATTAGAAAATAGTATTAGTTTGTCCCTGACTTTAAACAATGTACACTGGGGTTATTTGTAGAATTACAGACCAGGAAACCTCACTTTTATAGAAGATGAGCTAGCTGAAATCACTTTATATATGATATAAAATATGATAGAAACAGACCAGAAAAGCTTCTGGAAAAACCTATGCTTCAGTCTATAAGAATTCCGTGATCAATTCATACAGAAATAACTAGCAAAGCTGACCTGGGTAGCATTGTATTTAAACTATCAGAAAAGCACTGGCAGAAGTTCTCACAAAAGGTTAAGGGAATTAGTCATCGGCGACAACTGAAGCACTGACATCAGTTAGAAACTGGCTAAGAAACAGTAAAAAAAAATAAAACTACTGTATTTATTCATAATAACACATGTACCTTCTCAAAATCAACTCTCACACTTGGGGTTTCTTAAGCAAGGAAGCTTATTTTCTGCCCAGGGTTTCAGTTTTTAGTTAAGCAGGAAAGGGAAGATAAGTCAGCTGAAGATAAGCCTCTGTTTCTGCTCTATGCAGCCTTAACTCTGATGTGACTGCCCAAGCAAATGAAAGCTGGTAACCCAAAAATCAATGGGAAGATTCAATGTCTGAGTGAAGAACTTACCTTCTTTCTAATACAAATTGAAGTTCTCTGGACAGTGTTTACCAGATCAGAAGAATCACAACCTATGCTAGGGTGATCAAGATATTCTGATACTCTTCTATCCTCATAAGAACATTCAGCAATATGAAGAATAAGAGAAAGCTATGTGAGAATGCCTTCTTCCTCTATGCAAAGGATATTGCATGCGTCTCAAATTGAATGTGTGAGCATATCTGCACTCAAAGATTAGATTTGAATCAAGTCTATATTGTGACTTGAATGAAATGACCCCATGGGGTCATTAGGTTAAACCCACTAGAGTTACGTAGAGACCAGCCATGATGATCTGATCCTCTGCAGCCTAAGTCAGATGTGTAACTGTGGACACCACCCCATTCAAAACACACCACTTCTTTGGAAGATATAGGGATCGTTTTTGCTTCTTTAAGCTATATATTGCCACAGCATTGCCTGTTGCACTCTGCTGCCCATCTACTCATCAGAGGAAGGAGTGCTTGAAGACAAAGCCTTCAACTGTGATAAAGTTCACACAAAATTTAATGTCTAAGCCTATTAGTTTTCAGTTGATATAAATAGATGCCCTACTCCAAAATGTGAATATCCATGGCTGTTTCTCTGAATGGCATCTGATGGGAAGGCATTCTTCTCAGGACAATGTGTAGCCCAGTCTACCAGATAATCCAATATTTCATCTTAAAACTAGATGGATTTTAGCAAACAGTACTAACCCAGTTTTGCAGAAAAGCATTTGCAGCATTAACAAAAGATGTGCGAAGTAAAGGTCTTAGACAGAAACAATTTTGGACTTCATTTTTGAGAGTGTTCATAAGAGGTGTGCAAGACCTCCTGGAAATCAGACACTACTCTACTGGGGCACCTATACACATGCAGCAAAGCTGCTCTGATGTACTGTAATTACAGCATGTTGGAGTAGACTCGATTAATCGAATCTGCTAAAGCGTGGTATATATCCGTGCTCCAGCATCGCGTGTATCAGTGTCACCATCCTGAAAATTGGGGGCAGGGCACTTTAAAACTTGTTCAACAAGCTGTAAAGCTCCCCCACCATCATTTTTCAGCGCAGGGATGTTGGTACACATGACACTGCAGGAGCTTTAACTAGAGTGGCTCTCGGAGCCACACTAATTAAAGCATGCCCCTCCACTCCCGAAGCAAATATATAAATGCACTTGGAATCCAGAGAAGCCACTATAAAATTCAAAAGGAGATGATGGACTCATGGATCCCAAATGAGATGATTTTAAAGTGCCATTACTCAAATCCAAGATGAATTCCACCCCCCCCCCCAATCAATGTGAGGGTGGGAAAAAAAAAAACCTCACCTTGAATTCAAGTACTGGTTAGGGCAGACAGCTGCTGCAGCCCTGGCACTAGATACAGGGCAAAGCCAAAGTGAAGCCACTGCCTGGCCTAGGCTGGGTTGGCTCATGGCTCCATGGGAGGGAGTGCATGGTATGGGGCACCTGGAGGATCCTGCATGGTTAGGGGGAAAGCATGAGGACACCCATGGGAGAGGGGCATACATGGGGGAGAGGGCCTGCAGGGGTGACCCATGGTGTGTGGTTCAGAGGGAGGATGCGGGAGACTGCATAGACTGTTTCTCCCCCACCACCTGCTATGCCCCCACTACTTACCTTCTAGTCCAGCTCTGGCTCCAGGCATGACCCAGCCCAGAGCCACCACAAGCTGCTTTTTCCTGGCTGGGACAATTACCACTCACTGCCCTGGAGCCAGAGCCACTGCACAAAGTAAGCAGAGATGTGTGTGCGCATAGGGGGGGTAGCTAGGAACAGCAGGTGCAGGCATGAGGGACAAGGGATGGGGGTCTGGCTGCCAGCCATCCCCTTCACTGCTGCTTTCTCTGGTTCAGTGGCAGGGGGTAGGGGAAGAATTTAAGGCAACCCTCCTATCATTAGAAAAACTTGGATTCACATAAACATGGTACTTAAGTTGAAACATCTCAGATACTCCTTACCTGGAACACAAGATATGATTTTGAATTTCTTGATGCTAGACCTCCCTGATGTGCACCCAGGCAAATGC